CGAAATGACGTTACGTTAAGAGAGGGCAGTGGTCCCTGTTCAACATGAGATCTCAAGGTATTTTATTTATATAGAACAGTATGGTGAATAATCAAAAAAATCTTTTTACCTTATGTGGGGAATAGACTATTTCGGCAGACGATGAAAGTGGTGGTCTGTCTTTTCAACCCCGATGTGGAATGAAGTTCAAGTCTGTAGAGCTAGAGAAAGCAGGAAGTAGGAGTTAACTGTAAGGAAGTGATATTAGAAGCTTAAAGGGTCAACCTAAAATTTATCTTGACGAAAATGTATAATACAAAGTTCATTTTTTATATTTAAGTCAGACGATAGGCACCAGTCAAAGTTAAGGGAGGGTAGTAACTATCTATCTTAAAGAGGAGAAGGTGTATTAAATAATGTCAGAGAATATTAACCTTATGAAGACAAATTGGAGGAATTAGAAAGAGGAAAAAATAAATTTAAAATTAAAAATGAATTTAAAAATAAATTTAAAAATAATTTAAAAATTATAAGGTAAGAAGGACGTAAGGGATTAATGGAAAGAGAATTAGGGGAATATTCTAAGTAGAGGAAACTTTATAAATTATAATTAATATAGCATTAAAGGTTTTAGAGGAGGTGGTAGTAGTGGAGTGACTTAAGGTAGCTAAATAAAGAAACATTTCACATTGGAAATTTGAATTTGTTTTTATGTCAACATTTGAAAAGTTAGTGGGTATGGGAGTCGGTGAGTGATTTAGGTTAGCTAATTAAGGCAAAATTATATTATGAAAATTTGAATTTGTTTTTATGTCGACATTTGAACACTAATTTGTTACTCTGGTGCAATAGTTGGCTTTCATTATTGTATACATCTTTCGTATATATAGTGTTCGTATATATATATATATATATATATATATATATATATATATATATATATTTAAGCATTACGCCCCGATCAAGGCGTGAAGCCACTAGGATGTAGGGGTTGCAGAAGATTTGGAGCGAGAGCAGATAGGAGTGATAGAAGAAAGGATGAGGAGAAGGATTGTGGGTAGATCAAGGTAACTGGAGGTGTCGATTGACATTACATTTGAATAGTTGGAGATTATAGCTCTCAGGGAAACAGTAATTGGGAAGGGTGTTCCACAGGCGAAAGGTGCGACGTATGAAGCTATTGGAGTAGAAGAGACGGCTACATTTAAAAGTTTTTACAGTGTAAGGGTGGGAGCGGGATGACAGCCTCGTAGGGCGCTTGAATTCATGGAGTCTGGGAACCAATGAAAGCAGCTCATCGGAGCAATTAACATGAAAGTATTTGTAGAAAAGACAGAGAGAGGCGACGGCGCGTCTGTGAGAGAGTGACTGTAGACGAGACGCCAGATCAGGGCCAATTATATTACATATCCGTCTCTGGATCTTGTCAAGAACTCTGAGGTAAACAGAAGGTACCCCAGACCATATATGGCAGCAATACTCCATGCAAGGGCGAATGGTTGATTTGTATATTTGAAGTATTGAGTCCGGGGAGAAAAATTTCCTGGCGCGGCACAGAGAGCCAACTTTCCTCGCGGTGGAAGAAGCAATTGACTCAATGTATTTGTTCCATCTCAGGTCAGCAGTCAACGTGAGACCGAGCAGACGCAGGGAGTTGCTCTCAAGAAGTTGACTATCAGACATTCTAATGGGGGGCAGGGAAGGACCTCTATAGAGATTAATAGAGAGTAGTTTAGTTTTTGAGGCGTTAAAGTTGACCAGCCAATTCTTGCCCTAATTAACAACCGATTGGAGGTCCATTTCAAGACGCACGGCCAGATTAGTTTTGTCACCGACAATAGATTTGTTTTTGAGGCAGGAGTAAATTGTAGTGTCGTCCGCGTAGATGCCAACTTGGGAATCTATGGCGTCAGGAAGGTCGTTGATGAAAATATGGAATAGAGTGGGGCCAAGGATGGAGCCTTGGGGAACACCTACGTTCGTGGGATAGGAACTGGAGGAGAATCCGTTGAGAACGACCTTCAATTCACGGTTTGACAGGAATGATTGTATTAGATCAAATAATCGACCTGTAATACCATAACCCTGGAGCTTACGAAGAAGGCCGGTATGCCAAACCCTATCAAACGCTTTGGAGATGTCTAGGGCCACGGCACGAGCCTCACCGTTATTTTGAAGAGCTTGGTAGACGGTTTCAGTGATGGCCGTAAGCACATCAGCTGTAGATCGGGCGTAGCGGAAACCATATTGCTTGTCTGAGAGCAGATCATGGGATGTAAGGTGATTAACCACTTTGGCATTGATTAGGGCTTCGAAGACATTGCCGAAGAGGGGTAGGAGACTAATAGGACGGTAATTAGAGGGGTCAGAGGGGTCTCCAGAGTTCTTAAAGATAGGAACAATGGATGAGGACTTCCAGCAGTCAGGAAAACAGGATTCCTTGAGGCAGTAATTATACAGTTTAGAGAGGGCGGGCGCTAGCTCAGGCGCGCATTTCTTCAAGACAATGGCTGGTATGCCATCTCCACCACTAGCCTTGTGGGGGTCTAAATTGGAGATAATGCCCAGTGTCAATGACGCGGTTATGTGTAAGCCGCTCAATAGGGCCTCAGTTCTTGGAGGGAAGTCTGGTATGGGTACACCGATGGAGTCGAGCGTTGAATTAAATGAGAATTTCCGAGCAAAGCATTCAGCCTTTGTCGGTAGAGGAGGTCAAGACCTCGAACTGGTTGAATAAAGGAGGTATGGAGGGTTTTCTATTGTTCAGGACACTCTTGCAGACCCGCCAATAATTTTTGGAGCCAAATTTGCGAGATGCAATACGTTCCTTCATCCGAGCAGCAAATATTGACTTAACTTCGTTGAGGACACGCTTACACTCGTTACGGGCGGAGGCAAATAGACGTCTATTGCAGTCCGATATGTCGCTACGAAATATGTGAAAGAAGTGGTTCCTATGGGCAATGGCGTCTGAGCAAGCAGCGGAGAACCAAGGGGAGGAGTGCGAGCTTAAATTTTAAATGCTGATTACTTAAAGCCCGAAGATTCTTTCCACTGAAAAAATTGACAGAGAAATTATTTATTTATAACATAAATTATTATGAATTTATTTGAAAACAAGCTTAGTCACATATATATGAGGGACAACCCGAAAGTAATTCTTTTAATTAATTTACATGGGAATTAAAAAAGATACAGGGTGAACATTAACGACACTTGATAGTGCAAGTTTTGAACAATAAAAACATATTTTTACAGACTTTCACAGCAGTGATTATGCTGTCAGGAAAATGTTCGCGTAGTACTTCAAGTCACACAGATCGCTGTCGCCACTGCTATTCAAAGTGTCCGCTGCATAACTGGGTTCGCATCTTATTCTTTTGACATTTTGTCAGACTACTTATCAACAGTTATCTGCAACATGGCAAGTATAGGTTATTACCAGGACAAGTTCCGTGTCTGCTACCATACCAGTAACATCCGAAGGTATGGGTTCATATATATATATATGTAGAGGGGATATATGTGTGCGTACGTGTGTGTATTACCTTCATCAAATGAGGGTTTTTAGTGTAATGAGTGATATACATCTGCGCAAACTATGAAGGTAAACGATACTCAAGCAATCAACGGCCATGATTTATTGTTTAATTGCTGATGACGTCTTTATTTTATTTCATTGCACACATTCAAGCGCGCACACACACACACACACACACACACACATATATATATATGTATATATATATATATATATATATATATATATATATATATATATATATATATATATATATTAAGCATTTCACCCCAAGCAAGACGGGAAGCCACTAGGACGTAAGGGGTTACAGAAAATTTAGAGCAAGATCAGATAGGAGTGATAGAAGAAAGGATGAGGGTAGTGGATAGATCAAGGCAACTGGAGATGTCGATTGACATTATATTGAATAGCTGGAGATTATAGCTCACAGAGAAACAGGAGAAACATATATATATATTGTCATCCACAGACTGTTTTGATGTTTCACAGCTCATCAGTGTGGCTAGAAATTCGATTGCCTCAAGCTTAGATCGAAATCCGACTGATTTAGTATAAGTCGGAGATTTTGCCCCTAAGCCATTTACCCGTAAGGGATGAAGGTGAATTTAGACGTATTTATTTTTAGACAAACACGCCAGTGACCAGAGAACTCGATTCGTCTCAACGGAGAGTCTTGCATCAGCCGCAGTAATAGTCGCTGTCTACAAAGTCACTCTTCTCACCGAAGAGCTCAACTGAGCTTTTCAGGAGCATATATATATATATATATATATATATATATATATATATATATATATATATATATATATATATATATATATATTGTCATTCACAGACAGACTGTTTCTGTTGTTTCACAACTCATCAGTGTAGCTAGACACCCGCTTGCCTCAAGCCTGGATCGAAATATATATATATATATATATATATATATATATATATATGTGTGTGTGTGTGTGTGTGTGTGTGTGTGTGTGTGTGTATGTATGTATGTATGTATGTGTGTATGTGTCTTTGTCAAACGTTAGTAACTACGAAAAACATCTTAAATATAATTGATTGCAGTATGATTTCGGTAAAAGAACGTTTCTGTAAAAAAGCGCGAAATTGTACGTGATATTAAACTAGAATGATGTGTTTTCTCGTTTGAACAATATCTTGAATCTGAATTCCAATGAATGCTTTACATTCTTCAAGATAATGCTACTCTTCATGCTATTCCTATTTTAAATGATAATAATAATACCAATATAGTTTGTCAAGTAGGCGGCTTCAAATGACGTACATTTTCGAAATGGAGACTTCTGAACAGATGTTTAGAATAGCAACCATCCTTCAAGTTATTCAAAAAAAAATTTCAAATCAGCGGAAGCGCTTAAGAGTAATTAAATATTCCTTTAACTAAAATGAGTCTTTTTTTTTTTCAGACTATAACTGATTTAAAGAAGGATATTAAAATAAAGCTGAAACGAGTGACAGATTAGGAGGGAGAGAGAAAGAAAAGATGTAAAGAAATGGAGATAAAAAATATGCAGAAGTTAAGAAAAAGAGATAGATAGATACTTGTGAGCAGATGAAAAAAAAAAGATAGGGTAAATTGAGCATAGATTAAATTGTAGGAGAAAGTTTGAAAGACAGAGAAGGGATAAACTGGTAAGATATTAAGAGAAAACAAGAAAAAATCAGTGGCTATATTATTCTTTTCGTCATTACTTATAGAACGGCCAGAAATACAAGACATTGTAGGGAAATTCAATAATAATAAAAATAAATTAAAATGAAGGTAAAACCGAGTCAATTTAAAAAAAAGTGAGAAACGAATGGGGGGAAAGAAGAATTCCATACAAAGTTGAATCAAAAACCAAGTGATAAATAAGTGGAAATTTGCCATGAAAGCAAAGAAACTTCGTCATAGAGAAGAGAGAGGAGGAAAGATCTCCATCGATAGATGGTTGGAAATAAGCAGATATGCAAAATGGAGAATTAACAGAAAGTTAGAGAAATTAGAAAAAAAAAAAAGAGAAACAGCATAAAAATTAATGAGTTAAAGAACATGAAAGTGAGCGATAGAATAGTATAAAATAGATAGATAGATATAGATAGTCTAAAAGGGAAATATGAAAAGGTTGAAGTAAAGAAAAGTATAAAAAATATAAGCGTAAGGAAAAGCAACATGAAATGCATATCTAATACATGAAAAGAATAGACGAGACGGTAATGAAAAAGACTTGTGAAGTTGTAGAATCAAGACGGAAATGGAAGGGAGGAAAAGAAAAGTGGAAAGGTAAAATGTAGAGAAGCTCATCATAAAAAAAGCAGGAAAATGTACTGGAAAAAAAAGGAGACATACTTGATAGAGGTATGTGTCAATATAAAAAGTTTGAAAGTTGTAAGATTTTGATAAATGTACGAAAAATGGCAAGAAGCAGCTGAAATAAAAGAGAACAAAATTTCCATTAACTTTTTGGACAGTGCGTATAATTTAGTCGAGAATATTAACATGATGCGTCCAAATATAGCCCGCAAAAATAAGTAAAATAAAGTCAAATTAAAAAAATTAAGTGCTTCATTCAAGTATATTTTCGACATGTTACGAAACGAAGCGAATTTCTTTGGCTTTTAAATGTAACGATTTAGCTTCGAAATAATGAAAAAAACGTCTGGTTATCCGCGGCAAGTAAACAGTCAAGATAAAATGGAAGCAAAGAATTTGAAGAAAATTACAAGACAGAAAAAATTTAAAAAAAATATTTAAAAAAAAAATGCAATGTTTCGAAGAGAAAGACTGCAAAAATAAAAAAGATAAAATTTAATGGTAATTAGATTTTAAAATAGTTGTAAAGAGAGTATTTTTTTAAAAATTTCATTTTCTGTTTGTTTCTGTCTCTTCGTTCGAATATCTTTGGAATGTAATATAAGGGTCTTTAAAGAAAAAAGTAAAAAAATATGATTTAAATTTCAAACAATTCTTTCAGTTGATTAAAGAAAGGTGGGCTGTTTGACGAGATGCAAAACAACTGATAGTTAAAAATTAAACTAAACAAAATGGAGATTAATTTAATTTTTTAAATATAGCAGATATTAATAATTAATGACTGAAAGAGGAAATCTTGCTCACAATTAGATTTTCATCTTATTTTCTCATTACTTTTTAAAGATGCAAAATCATCTAACATTTTCTACTTTTTGTTCATCTAAAATTTGCTGCAAAACTTTTTATGTTCAGAAATCATTTAGTTTTCTCACCGAAAGTCATTTTTACCAGACAAACGTTCATAATTCCATCAGTTTTGATAAAATCCCCAACACCACAGTCTGAAATTCAGCTCGATACCATGACAGATCCTTCAGTGTTTCTTTTTTACAGCTAGATGTAGACACTCAGTTGTACCTCTCTCCTGACCTCCCCCGTACATACGACGATATGAACCATCAACTTAAAATTTAGATTTATTAATATTTACTGCCGTTGATTTTCAACCCAGCTCCTTTTCGTCCCTGTTTCGATTCCTTAACAATGTTTCCTTGACAGATAATCTACCGTTGAGACTCTATCCGGTGAGGCTTCGGTGAACAGTAGATAGATCGACTGCAGGACCAGTTGAGTCTCTCAAGTCCTGTGTCACGTCTTTGCTGAGTTTTTTTTTCTATTTTTTTAAAGACATGACTTTCAACTGTTCATCTTCCACTTCTTTTGTCCTTCACTTCCTCAATCTTTTTAAGGACACACTGCACACCATACCTAGATATCCCATGTAGGTTTAAAAATTACTTTTTAATATCTGTCAAACTATGTTATCTTTGGCATGATTTGAAGATACAATATCTCCAAACATATAGGAGCAAAATAGTATGCGCTTAAATACTCGATTAAAAATTAAAACAAAGTCACTTAAGATAGAATTTAAAATTGGTTCTTTTCTAGTTTGTTTGTTATGTGTAGACAGAAAGTTGGTACATCTCATGTGCTAGGTGTTTTTTGTTATTCTTTAATGAATCAAATATCAGTATTTTTTGCTTTGTCAAACATATATTTCCAAGGAAAATGGTCAAACAGAAGGGCAGAAATGAAAATGGGTAAAAAAATAAACGTTGTCCAAAGAGAAAACTTTGAAAGACCTTTTGAAAGCCTGAAGAACCATTTCTCATGTCGGCTTTAAAACTTTACAAGAAATTGGCTCTTTGATAGCAAAATATAAATAAATGGAGGGTTGGATAAGACTTTTGTATAATACCTTATACATAGATGCATATATTATTTTAATAGTTTTACCCCAAGCAATGGTACTAGAACGCAAGATGTCATAGGGAGTGAAAGTGAAAGAGAATGAGAAGAATGGGAATGGGAAGGATTGAGGAAAGGACAAAAAAGAAACAGAGCTCAAGAAGGCAGAAGATAGCGATTGACGTTACATTTAAATTTTTGAAGATTGTAGTTATCATGGAAACAAGAAATCAGAAGGAAGTTCCACAGGTGGGCAGTACGAGAAAATAAACTATTAGAGTAGAAGTAGCAGTTACATCTAGCTAGTTCAACAGTAAAATGTGTGACCTAGTTGCCAATCTAGTAGCATATTTAAATTCATGTAGTCGGGGTACCCGAGAAAAAGCTCATCAGAGCAGTTTCGATAAAAATATTTGTAGAAAAGACAGAGGGCAATTGAGATGTCTGGTCAGGATCGATTACTTTACAGACCCTTTCTTTGGGTTTTGTCAAAAATGTACAGCAGGAGTAGCAGAGCAGATAGGACAGCAGTATTCAATGCATGGACCAATGGTAGATTTATAAATGTGCAAGATGGGTTCTGACGTGAAAGATTTTCTGGCAAGGCACAGTGAACGAACTTTCCTTGCAGCAGACATAGCAATTGATTTCATATAGTTGCTCCAGTTAATGTCAGTGGAAAAAGTGAGCCCAAGAAGGCGGGATGTGTTGTTTTTTTTTTGCAGTTTAGCATCAGCCATACTGATAGGAGATAGAAATGGTTCTGTATCTCTCTGTCTGTCTGTCTGTCTTTCTCTCTCTCTCTCTCTCTCTCTATATATATATATATATATATATATATATATATATGGGGTGAATGCCATTGACGTTGGAAAAGTATATGATGTGAAATTTAAATAACGTAGACTGTCTTGATGCATCATTGTTTGTGCATCGTGCGTACGATTCCTACAAAGTGGACAAGAAATGAGTGAAGTGTGTTAAATTAAACTTCATTTTAAGTTTATCTTAAACCCAGTTGTCATGGTAACAGACAGTTCACATGCTGCCAAACGCTATCATTTGCCAGCCTACGACTAAATTCTTTTGCTTATCTTAGATGCTGTTTTCTTTCTTCAACAAGAAAATGAACCCATTCATTAACCGGTTTCGGAGTGATGAAATATTTAGTTATGTAGGAGAAACTTCATGACTAATTACTAATTAGTTAGTATCCATTAATTTGACTTTCTCCACTGCTCATTAACGATAAAGTGTATGATATTTATATAGACATCTGTTTATATGTGATCATTATCTATCTATCTATCTATCTATCTATCTATCTATCTATCTATCTATCTATCTATCTATCTGTATTTATGTATAGAGAAGGAAAATTACTTCAAAATGTATGCATGCTTCATGGTATCATTTAGTACAAGGGGGTGATGAAAAGTTGTTAACTCGATCCACTTCGCGAAATCTGACTAAAGGACCAAACAACTGGTACTCTGTCTGGCTTCTTCTTTTCAGCACTATCTATTTTGTTAGGTGGGTGATCTTATAATTCATTATTTTCGCCCTATTCTGCCTGTTTGTGGACTTACCGCCACATCACGTTGAAACTCCGGTTCTCGTACGATCATCTAAGATAAGCAACATCCAGCCTGGTCAGTACCTAGACGAGTGACCATTTTGGAATACCTCATGTTGTAAGCTTGGATGCGCGGCTGGTTTGATGGATAATGGTTTGAAATTGTCAATCGAAGACCTGAATTCCAATTCACGGTAGGTTCGTTATATTCACTTACGGGCAAATACCCTTGGGAAAGAAATATTTTCTGGTTTTAAATAATCTGCAACGGATTGATAAACCATAAAAACTAATCAATCAATCAGTCAATCAATCAATCTGTTTGTTTGTTATTAGATACCTGCCCACATACATATATATGTATACATAAACATACTTTGGCATGTTTTTTTTAATTAAATTTTGACAATGGGCTTCTCAGATTTTGTCCTATTATGAACTGGCTTAACGAACGAATTATTTTTAAATTTGTCCGTATTTGTTACTGGCCCACAGATGGCCTGTGAGCGCTATACTTTATTACATAGATGGCGAAGGAGATTTTTTTTACGGCCGGTTGGTTTGATTTCATTTGCTTTTTACGCCTTATTATTCCTTGGTAGGTTATTTAAATCCGAAACATATTTTGTATTGTAATAATAATTCTTTTTTTCTAGGGAATATATCATTAACCATCTTTTTTGTAGAATAAGATTGATTTTTTCAGATATGTCCCATTATTTAATCCATAGCTGGGGGAAGAGATGTATTCATACACTCCTCAATGGTATTTGTGCGTACATGAATGCAACGAACCCGACAGGAATTTGAACTCCGCTTCTCATTCCTATTAGAACACCTTCAAATCCAACAGACCCAGACCTTGCAGAACTGCCTCACTTATTTTGATTTTTGTCATTGCAGTTTCATTCTACGAGGGCTGTTGCTTGATAGTTCCGCCTTCAGGACTTCAAGTCGAATTCTTCGGATTCTCTTTGATGGTAGTTGAATCCATAAGAGATGAAAGGCATTTTCAGGAAATCGTTGTTTCTCTTTGGTGACGTACCACCTCTTCGTCAGTCGTTCCCCAGATGGGTGTGGCATTGGAAAGCTATCATTTTTCATCCTTACTAATACACATTCCATGCATTTGTTTTTCCTTTTATATCACAGTTTGAAAATTGTTCGTCCTGTCACTTACGTTCAAGAATATGCTGACTTCATGACCGATGAAGTTGGGTTGACTCCTCTCACAAAAGTCGCCACCTACATATGTCTACCTTTAATGATTCTGGTACAATTCAAACCTAACCTTTTTTTTATCCCTGTATAAACCGGACCTATGCCTATCTTTTAGACCCTCTTGCAAACCAGACCTATATCTACCTTCTTGACTTCCGTACATAGTGAACCTATTATATTTACTTTTTTTGAACCTATATCTACCTGTCTAATGTTTATCAGAACGGCAAAAGTTAGCATTAAAGAACATGAAAAAGATTGTTATGCCTTAAAACAAAGCAAACAAGTCAAATCAACATTATAGTTTCTGGATAGAACCACAAAGT